GGAGGGAGCTGATTTGGACCCAAGGGCTGAAATAGGCAGCAGCGTGGGCTGGAATAGGCTTTTGATAGGGCTGTTTGGCTTAAATTGTGTTCAAATGGCTCCAGGAGGGCCTGAATCAGACTTTGGCCTGCCAGGCTGAATTGGCACTATAGGGGCTGAAACAGATCTTTTTAATATTCAGTGCATTGATTTTCTTTCTGCAGTGCAATGAGGTATCCCATGATAAACACAATCACACTCTTCCTGATTAATTTTTCTACTGTGCAGTGCATTTATAAAGAGCAAATATAAACTATTTAACATGTACATATGGATTTCAAAGCAGTGGCATTGCTAGGAGATTCAAATTTACATACATAAATTTATAAGTGAAAAAATTTACTAGAATCAGATGTATATGTTACAGGTCAAAATTAAATTCAGGTTTAAATTTTTTACCCTGGGTTTGATTCTCAATTTTCTTTGTCTCCTAGCTCTACTTTATTAATAATTAGGGCTAGAGGAGACAAAGGAAATTTAGAGTCAAACTTGGTTGAAAAATTTGAACCTGAATTTAGATTTGACTTGTAACATAATATTTATGATACAAAACAGCCAAAAATACTGTTAGAGTTATACAGTGTACTCATCCATTTCCTCAAAATATCACAAATCTTACATGCTCCCAAAATACACGCTTTCTAGCTCAAAAATCATTCAATAATTATATCTGAATCCTTATTTGTAATGCAACATTAAGTGACTTTCTTGTGGAAACACAATAAAGACAGACTGACTGACCAGATGGACAACTCAAATAATTTTATATGTATGTTTTGCTAACTAAGCTAAACATTATTTTCAGCACCAATACAGATTAACATTGATACTAATTTTCTCCCACAACATTGATAAAATTTGTCAGCATTTACATGTAAATATGCTAGAAATTTTACCCACTTTAGAAAACAAACTGCAGTAACAACATTCATGTCTGCCTACCTGGAGACTGAGTAGCATGTAGGGAATTGAGTAACATTCTTTCCAACAACTCAAGTCATCCAAAAAATCTGCACAAACCTGGCCTGTGTCTGGGTCAACTAAAAATTAAAAGACTGATATGAATGATAGAACAGCACTGAAAACTTACAGAATCACAAGTGTTACTATGGACATTGGTTCAAACAGATAGTTGAGGTGGGAATGTGCTGTAAAAGAGGCACCCATTAGTACAGGCACCATATACATAATATTATTATTGTGGCAAACTCATGGGAATAAATAAAAATAGGTCAAAATGCTGTGTTTTGGAAAGAATCAAGATGAACCCGACCAACATTCTGTTTCAGTTGTGAGCACTTTTTAAGTTTATCCTAAAGTGTTTTTTGAGTAACTATAACAAAACAGAAAACATGTCCTTCATTTTGGAAGATCTTTGCAATTCTTGTATTGTACACTTCTTTTACCTTAAACAATACAAGCATGTACCAGCATATATAAATTTGCACAGTTGAAGCACTGCATGAACTTATACACAAAAGCACAAAATAAATTACCCTCACAACATGAATAATATTTATTATTATCTTTATGATACTGGATTAAAATAATTATTTTCAGGCATAAAACACTGCTTTGGTTTTTTTTACATCAGAAACAAGCACATTAGCTCACCATTTGGATGGAAAGGGATTGTGTGAAAGAATATTTCTGGTGGCTGGCCATTATAATGCTCACTAAACTGAAGATACAGCTTGAAAACACCACCTGTCAAACAGATCAGACACAGAGGCATTACATGTACTCTGGAGGGAAGCGGGACACTCTCATACAAATATACTTTAAGTACATTATATCTTTAAAGCACAAATTTATAAAGTATACTTTTAATTGTCTTTAAAAGTATACTTTAAATATACCGAATTCCTGTAAGGGTGGGTTATAGATACCTGTAGCCTGGTCTGCCCAATATAATAAAATAATAATTACCACTTTATTTAAGTGTCAAAATGCCTAGCTTACACACAGTGTAAACTGATTGTGG